CTGAAGAGGAGGTTAATCAACCTTCGGGAATTTCATCAGATAATATGGAAGGTTCAGAAATACTTAAACGAGATATACTTACTGATGATATGAGCTATGCTAACATACTCAATTTGAAACCCTTAATTGATTTCGTTCTTGAACTTGGATTGGGTGTTCCCATGAAAGGGCTGAACCAGATTGATGGTTTCCTAATTGATGGTGTTAACCCTATTAAGAACATTCAAGACAGGTCGGAAATAGGATTTACTGAAAAATGGAAGATTTACACTAACAGATTCCTGATGTCTAATCATGAGATCAACCCTGCTATTTTCCAATTGGCTTTGATAAGTGGTGAACATGCAAGGAAAATACCATCAATTTGTATATTGATTCAAGAGAGGAACTGGCTTAATGTTTTAAAATTTGTAATGATGGACTGTGATATATTAAACATTGCTTTGGAAGGGGTGAAGTCATGGCACAAGTCTGATAGTTTCAGATGTGAGGGTGTTACTTCTATGATAGATAATCAAAATGGGTTGGAAGGAGAATTTTCTGGGAATGTTACAGAGTATGAGGGATATGTTTCTGGTGTTGGAGTTGTCATGTATCTGATGTTTGTTAAAGATCTCAATCCTGGTCGTTTCCCTGAGGTCATTATAGGAGGTGAAGTGGTTATGGGACTACCAGTAGATGATATACCTGTTCAAGATAGACGTGTAGGTTTTGATTACAGGTATCATATGGCAAGTATTGATCCAAGACACAAAATACTCATGAAAAGAGGTATGAACTGGAAAGAGGACAATGTGTTGAGCTCAATGGTTTTTTGGAAATGGATGGGAAAGTATGTTGCTGATAATTTTGAATATCAGTTGGGTAAAATCAGTATGGCCCGGGATCCTACTATTCAGGCTACTATTAGTAGATGGGAGACTGAAGCAAATGGACAGGTGAAAGTGAAACAAGGCTTGAAAAGTGAAATGTTTTCTTCTGGTGAAGAATTTGTCTATCTTCAAGAAAACCAACTTTGGAAGTTTTGCATGGATAATAGGCTTTCTTGTTCCTCAGTTAGAAGAAATGCAACTGGAATAGTGGATATCCTTACCAACCTGCTAAAGCCTTTGAGGTTTTCCTTCTCAAATATGTTAGCTACTGAAGATGCTGAAATTTCAAGAAGTGAAGCAACTGAAACTCACATATTTGAGTTATATCCTGTAGCAAGAGCTATTAGCATATGGAAGAATGAGCAATGGATGATGAGTGAAGATCAGTACCAGCATGAACAAAGACACAAGACTAATATTGATGATTGGAAGGAAGAGGAGCTAATGCTGTTTTTGCAAGAAGTAGTGAGAAGGAAGATTCAAGTCATGGAGTTTAGGATCCTGAAATTTGAAAGATATTGGGAAGGAAGAGGTGCAAGGAAGAAGAAGGAGGAGAAGATGGATGTCTCCTTCCGCCCACCTTGAGAGCAAGGTGGATGTTTAGGGGGGGAGTATTGTTAGGGACCTACCCATTAGTGTTATACTAATAATAGAAGTAATAATAATAAAAGTAGTAATAAGGGTCTCTATTATAAATAGATGGGAAGGGGGGAGTAGTAACGAGGCTTTTAGACATTTGGTCTTGGGACTGGGAAGGATACGAGACTGAACATCTCGATCTTTTGGGGCTTCAGCTTTGGGGGCTTCGGCCTTTGTACTGATTATTGTTCATCTTCTTCAATAAAGAATTTCAGTTGTTTTTCTTGATAATTTTCTGTCAATTGTTCTGGTTTTCTGGAGGTTTCTATCAAAAATTTTAAAAGTTTCAATCGCTTGCTTAGTTGGTCGAGAACCGTGTTTTTTAAACTTTCAACCTTTGGTTCTAGTAAAAGCTGATAAGCATTTAGGTCTGCGACGTCGTTTCCTTTTTGTTTGTATCAGTTGACCTAACAGCGCCGTTTGGTGAAGTTAAAAAATAAAAACATAAGCCGCGGAACAGATCTGGGACAGAGCTGGAATACTGCAATAGCCATGGAAAACGACGGGCAAGGTGGAAGAAGACCACGGGAGGTATGAAATTTATACCTTAACATTTTGGCGAAGGGGTAGCGCCGGCACCGGCTCGCCCTGGCCGGGTTCCGCCCTTGGCTGTATCTTAAGGTGTTATGACCTACATACTTTTTCTTAAAGGAGTGTACTATGTACTTATATAACATACGGAGTACTTTATTGAATACATAGTATATACAATACACACCAAATCAAATATACGTCCAAGTAGAATAAAATGACAATAATAATAACATCGAATATGTTTATATAAAGACAAGCGCATAATTTTATATATAAAAAGTTACATCCGGACCCGTAATTAGCCAAACAGCAAAGAAACAAATATTAAAATGTACAAATGTCCTTTTTTATCTTTTTATCTATTAACTGCTAAAAGCAAACAACTAAATTAACAAACATCTTTTTATAACCCGCCATACTAATTCGCCGGTCAAATCCACTGACTCCTGGTCAAATTTGCTGACTCAATCCGCTAACCGCTAACAACTAATTCCCAAACAAGCCCATTGTTTAGAAAGTTGATACAACATGGTGCAAACTTTAGGAAGGATGGAAGCTAAAGGAAGAAAGTATAACTACACAATTGCCATGTTTACATGCTTATAAAGGTATTTAATAAAAAGTACTTGAAGAGCGACAATCCTAGTTTTCTCCTTAGGCATTGGGATTTTGGATGTTCCCCGGCGACAACGGCGAGTGGGACGCTACTTTTCCTTTTTCTTTTGATCTCAACAGCTGTATAAGAAAGGAAGTTTGAGGCTGTTAAGCAAATATGGCTAGAACACGTCTGTTGGAGGAGCTTTACTTTCATTTTGTTGTCTACAAGGAGGGGGTTTGTGCTAGTTTTTGAAGGCAATGAAATGGGTGCGTGTTCAGAGAAGGCCCTGTGATGATTTTGAAAGATTACTTGATCAAACTTACCATTTTTTGGGAGATGGAGGATGACACTGAAGGATAAAAAAAGAGGCCATAGGGGGGCTTGGGGAAGCCCGGCCTGTGCGGCTGTGCCTTTAGGTATTTTGTCGAACCCCATTGTAGAGTGGCCTTTCACCACAGTGGTAGTTGTGGGTGGATCCCTAAAGCTGGCTCGAGGCAACCTCTGCATGGAAATCTTTCTTGTCAGTACCTGAAACCGGAAATGTTGCTCACAATCGATTATTTTCGCTACGGTTGCGGGAAGCTGGTCAAACCAGTGTTACTCTCTTCCAGTAGTTGGTCAAACCTTTGTTGCAGTTGGTAGTTGATCTATTGGTAGTTGATCTATGATCTGCTTAGCCCTTTACGTGGACTCGTGGACATCAATTCCATATCTGACCACATGGTTTTTATTTTCATTTTGGCATGATATTGTATTTTCTTTTTGAGTAGGGTTATCTTAATATAATTTTTCCCTCCCAGCCACAAATTATACAAAGGACTTGTCAACATTCGAAATCAGAAGAGACCTACTTGCTCCTGAATGCAGAGATCAGAGTACTAGAATTATATGCGCATGAGCCATGACATTTCTAAAAATGAATTAGACTCTCTTTGGGAAAACAAATCAATATGGAAATAATTTTCCACATTTTATGTGTGTGGTTTGAAGAGGAGATTAAATCTTCTTCTTCTTCATTACCCCATCGCCGCAAAGGCTCCCACCTATGGTGGGTGGCAGGGTGGGGTAAGGGGGGGTCGGATGTACGTAGTCTTACCTCTAACCCAAAGTACAGAGAGACTGTTTCCGGATGACCCGTAGTGAAATTCGCGTCGGAAAATGCATGGACTGACTACTGCTTCATAACAAAGAAGTGCAGACAGTTTAGTGAGCCATTTTGCTTTATTCCATCATATTCCCAAATCTCAAGCCAAAAAATAGTGAGTCTTTGGCTCCATTGCAAATGATGGAAAGAAGAGGAGATTAAAATGAAAAAGAATTTCATCTCAAAACATGGAACATGACTTCATCTTTTTGTTGAATGCCACATCTGGATTTTTTTTTACCAACACAATCACTAATTGTAGCTACCGCCACCCACAGTCTCCACCACCACCCCTACAACCACCTCTAGCTCTGCTACCCCAACCATTACCACTACCGCCGCCACCCAACCACCTCAGCTACTACGTTGCCCCATCTTTTACGCCACCTGTGCTCCTTCCTACCTCGCCACGTATGCCATTACCATTACTGTTGTCACTACCCACCTAGCCACCCCCATCATCGACATCACCACCCCACAACCATTGCCAGTTTCCCATTATGCCATTTCTTTGTTAGCATATTTAGATTTATTTATTATTATATTATTATTAAATACATTATTATTGTAATAGAAAATCATAGTTATAAATTTGAAATACTTGTTTGTATTTTTTATAATACGCACTAAACTATTTTCTACATTCCACGAAACACTGCAAAATGATTTCTGGAAAAAACTAAAAATCATTTTCCTTCCAGAAATGAGTTTCCCGTAATCATATTCTTACTTTACAGTTTCCGACGGGACCCTTATCTTTGCAACCAACAACACTTCTCCAGTCAGGTTAAGCATCTCAGGATGGAAAACAGATTCGAATGAACTTGAGCAGAACAATAGCATATGTTGTACTTATTTCAGTACTCTGGTAAACCTTTTCCCGTTTAGCTCTTAGCGTCCAGCACCATCAACTAAATAAGTCCTTAGGGAATATTTATATTAAGCTGCAATATTATCCTTGACTCCTTGGCAATCAACTTTAAAAAGAATATTAATTTAACATATCCTTAGATATATAATAAAACCCTGAATCGTATCTCATCAATTACGCATCAAAGTGTAAATAACAATCTTTTGAACCTTATGAATGAGTGGATCTCGAAATCGTTTATTAAAAAAAGTTGCATCTGGACAAATACATTTTAAGAAAATCAGTGCACAGTAGTAAAAATCAGACAGGAAGGCGAGGCAGATAAGGGGAAGATGTACTGACCGAATCATGATAAATGCAGGAACCTTCTGGATTGTCATCCTCCGAGAAGACGGCGTTGCAACCGATCCTCTGGCACCGTATCTTCTCCATCTTCTCCGTGGACCGTGAACGAGCACCCCCGCCGGTCTTGCTCTACCACTGAATAAGGCGCCAGACGGCCTGTTAAGGTGTCAAGGTGCCTATAGTCCGGCCTTTTTAAGGCCTTGATCTTTTTAATAATCAAATAGGGTAATTCTAAACGCAGCCCATTTTTTTTTTGCTATGTACAGCCTCTCGTTTAATTTTACTAGTAAACTCACTTGTGCGATGCACCGTTTGAGAATTTTTCTTTCAAATTTATGTGTGGTTAATAATTCAAATCACACTATCAATTGATGAAAATATCTATTTTCATGTAATACTGATATACATCAAAACATTAAACGAAACACACTTATAATACTATGATCAAAATGAGAGTACTAATCATTACTTAAAAGATCAAAAACATCCAACAAATACATTGAAATTGTAACATTGTAAATATGCATTTAATGTAAACATAATCATTGTTGAACACTTCTTTGAATGCAACATTCTGAGCCTTGTCAGTGGTTCCTTCATCTTCATCAACAATTAGAATTTTCAACACAACAATTGGTAACCCTTGATACTGCAATGATGGAGTATATGGCCCAGGAACCCCCGGCCCATACTCTCCTACTTCTCCCACACAGGCCCATTGAGCCCATAGAGCATCCGAGGCCCAAATACAATGGCCCAAGTTCAAGGAAGCCCAAAATACACACTAGAGTGTCTTCGGCCTCCTCGGTCGAGGGTTCCAAATCTCTCAGGGCTGCCGGTTTCAAGCATACGAAGCTACTGGGAAAAAACGGCGTAAAAAAGTAGCCCTCGTCTACCAGGAGCCTTCGGCATCAGGGAAGCCTTCGGCACTCCCATACCTTCGGCTACACAAAGCCCTCGGCCGAAGGGGGAGCCTTCGGCCAACAACTCAATCATCGAAGATTCCCTTTGGAGACAAGCAACCACCGCATTTAATGCAACGTCACATCCACCCACCGTATTCAATGCGGTGCACATGCGATTGCCAGTGCCACCCGATTGAGGTGACCCCTCTGTAACACTTGAGATTTAATATAAACGGATTAATAGTACTACTCATACCAACAGAGGTGCATCTCCTTTTAAGGGAGCTCATCACCCAAGAACTCCAAAGTTAAGCGTGCTTGCACGGGAGTAGTCTTGGGATGGGTGACCCCCTGGGAAGTTTCTCAGGGCGCGCACGAGTGAGGACAAAGTGCGCGGTAAAGGCTCGTGGTGGTTTGTGGGGACAGTACTATTGGTCCGGAGTAACTACCTCAGGTCCGGTGGGGCCGGGGTGTTACAGGTGGTATCAGAGCAACCCCACGACAGTGTGATGACCCGTTGGATATCGGGCGGGCACTTAGCGGGGGAAGATTCTGGGATTTGATTGAGATTTGAGATTGATTTATGGGCGCAACGAGGACGTTGCGATCCTAAGTGGGGGTGATTGTAACACTTGAGATTTAATATAAACGGATTAATAGTACTACTCATACCAACAGAGGTGCATCTCCTTTTAAGGGAGCTCATCACCCAAGAACTCCAAAGTTAAGCGTGTTTGCACGGGAGTAGTCTTGGGATGGGTGACCCCCTGGGAAGTTTCTCAGGACGCGCACGAGTGAGGACAAAGTGCGCGGTAAAGGCTCGTGGTGGTTTGTGGGGACAGTACTATTGGTCCGGAGTAACTACCTCAGGTCCGGTGGGGCCGGGGTGTTACACCCTCGGCCGTTGGATTATCGCCACGTGTACTCTCATCGCATTTATTACTACTATAAATAGCACCCCCTTTCCCTGTTGTAAAGGACCAGAACATCTCGAGTTCATAATATAATCTCCTCTCTCTCTCCTACTTGTTGGCTCTGACTTCTCTCTAGTTATTCCCGCAATAACACCTCGGATAAGATACCCCCCGGGTAGACTATCCATCATTTGGTGCTCTCGTTGAGAGCCGAACAATCAAGTGAGAAACCCTCCCCTCCACCAAACACAAAAAAAAACTACCAGAGATGAGAAGAACTCGTGGTCAGTCCAAAACCCTCGAGGAGAACCACGTAGCCCCCGGCGAAACCAACGGGGCCGAAGCCTCTAACAGGCTCTTAGTACCCGAAGGCGGCACTATCGCCGAGATAGAGCAAGCCACCGCTGATCTTCGTCAGCAGCTCCAGAAGGCTGCCCCTGATGCCCGCATCGGCCTTGATAATCGAAGGAAGGATCGGAGCGAGAACCAAGTTCCCTCTCCGGCTCCAACCATCGATCTTCAGGCCGCTTTCGCAGCCTTCGTCTAAAACATGGCGATGAATTCTGGTGCCTTCATACCACAGGCACCCCCCAACCTCATTTCGGGGGAAATGTTGTCCATTTCCCGCCGCCCCCTCCTCTGTTCAACAATCCCATCACACGGATTGGCAACGCCGAGGGGGTCGTGGCTCAGGACACCCCCTCCCAAGAGGTCCAATCCAGGGACAAGCGGCCCGTGAACAAAGAGAAGCCCCAAACCTCTGCCCTCGAGAGGTTGGGAGTAGCTCCTGAACGCCGAGGGGTCCAAGACCGCCTCAGTGGCAAGGCAGTCAGCCGACCCCAAGAAAGTGGAGCCCCTGTCTCGGGGGCCGAAGACAGACCTCCCCCCCGGGACAAAGGCAAGGGCCTCCTCCATCCCGAAGACGCCAGGCATCAAATCAACCAGGCTCAATCCTTCCGGACCAACTCCCAAGGGGTTGTCCCGAAGGACCCTAAGGATGAAATCATCAAAGCCCTCCCCCGTCAGCTCGAGGAGACACGACAGGCACCCCCAACGGCTTCCACGCCGGGGCCAGATCCAGATTATGCCGCCCTCCGAGCACAGGTGGAGGAGATGAAGCGCAAGTTCGCCGAGGGCTCAGATGAACCGCTCATTCAACTCTGCACTAGAACGCCATTCACCCCAAGGGTGCTGGCAGCCAAGATCCCCAACAAATACCAGGAGCAACCCATCAGACCATACGAGGGGAAGACGGATCCCCAAGAACAATACAGCAAGTACCAAAATAGTATGATGATGGGGGCATCGGATGAATACTTGTGCCGTTGGTTTCTTTCCACCTTGGAAGGACCGGCGTATGAGTGGTTCAACCGATTGCCCGAAGGCAGCATAGATTCGTGGCAAGAACTTGCCCACCGCTTCCTCACGCAATTCGCCGGGAGACACCGGTCAAAGAAGCACTTCTCCCACCTTCTGAACGTAAGGCAACAGAAGGAGGAGACCCTTTGGAGTTTTCTTGAGCGCTGGAGGCAAGCCTCCATCGAAGTCGATGGGGCCGACGACAGGACCTTGATGGCCCTCTTCCACACCGTCCTCCGCAACGGTAATTTTTCAAGGAGCCTTATTACTGATTCCCCCCCCCCCCCCCGCGCGATTATACAAAGGCCCTCCAGCGGGGGGACAGATACGTCGAGGCCGAAGAGATTGAGAAGGATCGCCGCAATCCGGAGCCTTCTCAAAAGCATGAGGGCAGGAATCGCCCCGGGGGACCACCCCCTCCCGCAAACCGCGAGGTACAATACAACGATCGTCCCCGAGGTGGCCAAACCAGACCCAGGGGCGGTTACAAGAACAGCCCGAAGGCATGGGCGCAACCCATCCTCCTGGGGCACCCACGCACTCCTCTAACGCATCCCGTCAGCATCATTTTGGATTACGCGGAAGAACGAGGCCTCGTGGAGCGAGACTCCCGAGCACCCCTCGAGATATATGCCATCAACCCTGATGAGCCTTACTGCCGTTTTCACCGCCATCATGGACACAAGACCGATGATTGTCATCAACTGAAGACAACCATCGAGAAATTGATACAGGCGGGCCACTTATCCCAATTCGTCAGGGGCCCTCCTCCACAGGGCCCCCCTCATCACCAAGGGCCACCGCCGAAGGCAAACAAGTGGGTAAACTCGAACACAATTCCCTTGGGAAACCCCCAGGGGAGGAAGCGTGAAATCGGAGGCCTCAGTGAGGAGGAGGACCCCCAATACCAATACAAGCGCCATGTCCACATGATTAATGGGGGCAACACCGGAGGCGACTCCACAAGCCAAAGAAAGAAATGGGCTCAATCCCTTTACATTGGGGAGGTCAACCACATGCCCTCGGCTAAGAGGCCGAGAGCGGATCCCATCTTCTTCACAGATGTGGACCTGCCCCCGGGCACTCTTCCTCACAGGGATGCCCTCGTCATCCGCACTGAAATCAATGACGCTGTCATCCTTCGGACCTATGTTGACACGGGGAGTTCTGCCAACGTCATGTACCTCAGCACTTTCCGAGAGCTGGGACTTGACAGAGGAGCCCTTCAGTACATCAACACCCCACTCTCCGGATTCACAGGGGACAGCTTCGACGCCGAAGGCGTAATCTCCCTGATGGTTGAATTTGGCGACGGATCCCATAGAGCCAAGCTCGAAGTGGAGTTCGTTGTCGTCAACCTCGACTACGCCCACAACATCATCCTCGGCCGGCCCGCCCTCGAGGATTTGGAGGCCGTCGTCTCCATGAGGCACCTCTACCTTAAATTCCCCACACCCACAGACATCGGTTACTCGAGGGGTAATCAGAAGCTCTCCAGGGCTTGCTACCTTCAACTCACCAAGAAGGTTAGTAAAACTGAACTCCGCATCGATACAATCACCACCAATGCCCTGGAAGAGGAAGAAGGCAGGCCGAGGGCTGAGCCTGCCGAGGACACCGAAGACTTTGCACTCGATCCGGCCAAGCCGGAGAGAGTCTTGAAGATTGGAGCCAAGCTCCCCGAAGACCTGAAGACCGGCATCACTGAAGCCCTCCGCGCCTACTCCATTGTTTTTGCATGGGGGGCGGAGGACATGCCGGGGATCGACCGAAGGGTCATCACTCACCGCCTGGCGGTGGACCCTTCGGCCAAACCAGTACAGCAAAAAAGAAGGCCCCTCTCCGCCGAGAGAAGGGAATTTGTGAAGAAAGAGGTCGTCATGCTCCTCTCCATCAAACATATCCGGGAGGTGAAATACCCTTCATGGTTGGCTAATGTGGTCCTTGCACAGAAGCCACCCACCTTCCGCATGTGTGTGGACTACACGGACTTGAACAAAGCGTGCCCTATGGACCCCTTTCCTCTACCAAA